TTATTGCAAAATAACCCTGTATAGTTTGAATAGGATTACATAATATTAATTATTCTAACAATACAAAACTTGGTGCAAAACTTAAACTGACGTCAAATTATTTACACATTCAAGCACGTACATCAATATTTACGTGACAGAAATATTATACTTCACATTTAGACAAGCGTTTAATTAAATACCTTACGGTATATTATAATGTCTATGTCGCAATCAACTAGCTTTATTAGCCTTTTCGTTAACAGCCTAGACATTGCATGGCGTGGGCACCCTGTTAATTTCATTCAACGAGACGGTCGCTGGCCTGTGCCAATTTTTTTATAGAAGAGGGGGTAAACCAGCATACGGTTCACCTGATGTTAAGTGACTACCGTCGACCATGATCAACCGCAACACCAGGGGAATTGCAGGTGCGTTGCCGGCCCTTTAGAAAGGAGTAAGCTCTTTTCTTGTAAGTCCCCAGGTCGTATCGGTCGGAAAAATCGCCGGTGGTAAACTATTCTACAGAGAGAAACGTACAGTTGTGGACCGCCAATACGCGCTATGTGCTTATTATATAAATGTACCCTGCTTTAGGTGGTCCGAGGGCCACCCCAGCAGCACCTTAACCTACTGTCATTGATATTACAATATAATTGCAATGTTGTAATAGACTCATTGGCTAAATATCATTCAGGCCGCTAATTAAACTGCGTCGTTTAGTAAAAAGGCTAGACTGTTAACTGATATGCTAATTAAGGTAGTTTGCTACGACATCTATATAAAATATATTTACATTCCACCACGTTCTACAATAAACTAGAATCCAAACGCACTTGATAAACCATTTTTAGAATACAACTTGTTTTATTTGCATCGCATGATCAATAAATTACGTTTTATAGGTCACAGATAATTATTGTTATGACTTAGAACGCTCATTATTTGCACTGCAAACCTGGCGTCCCGGTCTAATGCCTTGCGGATATACTGTAACTGGTATCCGGCAGAATTAACACCAGTATCATCTTTAGTCTTAATTAAACACAAGAGTAATAATTTAAATTGTGAAACAATAATAATCTATGATACAAATTAACGATTTATTTGAAAGTCAGAGTTTTTACTTATTTGTAAGTCAAGGCTCCACTTTTTTAAATATTACTTACCGATATATTCTAGCCTTGATATAATCTAAATCAGAAATGAAGAAAACTTGAAAAAAAAAATGAGATTTTACAATTAAAAAGAATCGTAGACAGAGAAACCTATAGACTAATGATCGGCGTGGCCTCGAGTGAGAAAGGACGATAACGAATTTTTAGGTTATACAATAATCTTTGACTTTTAAACACATTTAGATAAAAAATTTAATTGTTCTAAGAACTGAAATGAACAAGATTCACCAATCTTAGGCTCACAAAACACTTTTTTCTCACTTAAACCAACTTGTAAAGTCCTTAAATCGCTACGCTTTCAAAGTTGTTTAGCAAACTGTAGAGTTTGCTAAACAAAAAAACCGGCACGGTGAAAGGGACAAACAATCACACCGCTCTGTCTCATTTCTATGCAAGACGTATGCATAAATCTATATTTTTCGTGTGCGAATGCGAAAGAAGGCGTCAATTTGTCTATAGGTTTCTCTGTCTACGAAAAGAATCATGGGCATAGACTAATTAGTTTTTTTTTTAAATTAAAATTTGATTTTGATCAATAAATACTAATCTAATTAGATTCCAGTTGGAAAAGTTTTATCGATTAAAAAAAATGCGCCAAACTTAAGGCAAAAATATTATATTAAAATATGAGTCGGTAATAATTATTGTATAATGTTACAGACTGCTAGATCGTTTTTCTTACACACATTGTTCATCTTGCACTAAGACCAACAAAGAAAGATAGGAGAAGCGCTGCAATTGACGTCGAAATCATACTCGTCTTGACACGCACTCATGCACACATCTTTTTTTCTTATTTTAACTGTCCTAAATCCAGGACACTCATATTAAATAACCTAAAACTATGTTTTTGGTTGCAAATGATACATACATAATATATGAATATTATGTAATAGGCTTGTTTTCGACTTCACTTCAGATGTACTTTTAACTAGTACTAATATTTCTTTGTTGACCCGATTTCTTGTACACACGGCCGCCATATTGTTTTCAGGAATGTTGCGGTCGCAAGTACGGACCACGCCCGAAATCGTAATAGTTCAATGGCGCTGGTAATTATTAATAAATACTTTAGATCTAAAACTATTATTATAAAATCTAGCAAAAATAAATGAGAGTGGGAAAGTAAAACTAAGAGCTAAAGATTTATTGGTCATGCAGTTCGTGTTCTGATGTGGCACCCTGAGCCCACCCACCATTCGACAAGACTGAAGCATTGAACAGCGCCAGTCGAGACGAAGGGTGGGCGGGACCAAAGTTGAGTCTTCATGGTCTTCTTTCTTCTATAAAAACTTCTTTGCTACGGTTTAAAACTAAACATAAATATGATTCTTAGAGACAATAAGGTGTCCTTACACATTATAAGTAAATTTGTATGAGTTATAATCAAATCAAATTAACTACCATAGCAAATTGAAATACTAATCTTAATTGGTAGTTGAATTTAAATTACGTTTTTTGTAATTACATAAGTTGCCTTGCAAAAATTAATAATTTATGATACAATTCTTATCTGAAATCTTACATGCAGCACTTTGCACCACTATAGAAAAATGTATATAGGGTCCATTGTAAAAATATTAGTTAGGGGTCTGGCGCACCCTTTGTTAAAAATGAAGGCACATTGTCAGCTCTAAGGACTTTAATATATACATAATAAAACAGGTTTTATAAGAAACAGATACAGTCAGTTGTATATGCAATGAATACAATAGCTTTTCATGATAACAATAAATAATAGAGGGTCAGTTATATTTACAAAGGCATAGATTTCATATGGGAAGTATACAGAAGCCCATGATGTTTCTTTTTATAAAACTAAGGTTAAAAACTTACAGTCCACTTGATGGTAATTGGGCTACTGCAGTCATCAGACACCTACGGCCAATTTTAAAAGAAAGAAGGATAAAGAGAAGAAAAGGGAGAGGAAAGTGTTGCCACCTTTGAAATTCCTCAGAGCATGTAATTATATTGGCTAACTATACACTTCATACCCCTCAAAGTGAAACACAGCAATGCAAGCATTGCAATTTAGCTGCAAAATTAGGCAACAGAGTGGTTCCTACCCGGACAGACTCCTACATAGGCAGAAAAGGAGATATATGACCTATCAAATGTATTGACAAAAAACGAATCATTAAATAAGATTTTGAACCACCAAACAAAAACAATTGGAATGCTTCAATAAATTTACATTTAATCTATACAAATAAATAAAATTGACAAGTCTGTTTGGAATGTCAAAATGCAGCTTTTTACTGCATATGAAAGTATATACAACACTTATAACAAAAGTAATAATTTAAAAGTTAGGTTTGTCTGTTTGTTCCAGCTAATATCCGAAATCGCTGAGCCAATTTCAGCGGGACATTCAATGGCAGATAACTGATGTAATGAAGAGTAACTTAGGCTTCTTTTATTTTAGAAAAATAATTTTGGTTCAAGGGTAAAAAAATTAAAACCCATGAAAATAAATCATAATAAATTCCATGCGGGCAAAGTTGCATGGAACAGCTAGATAGATTATAATCTAAAAATATTAGGCTAAGAATTTTGCATTTTTGCACGCTTTTATTTAACTTGTGTTCCTGTTTTTTTTTTCTGCTTCAAAACTTGTAATCATTTTTTGAACCACTTACCAACATCTGATTGGGGTTAAATTTGCCATACTAATAACTAATTTCAATAAAAAGGCAATAATATGGTACCATAGAGCTGATTTGACGATGGAACTAGGTTTTGGCCCTAACAATGCCTATAAAAACTTGTTTTTTAATAGATTTTATTTTTAAGCTTAGAATTAGTGATTACAAATTTAACTATCAAGACTGTGATTTTCGAAATTTTGTTATTATGTTTGCATGAATGTTTTTATTGTTTAAAATTAGATTAATAAGACATTTTAAAATAGGTATCAAAACAAATCATCAAATTAATGTCTGTGAACTCAATAATTTGGGTTAATTTCTTCAGTATCAATCATCTCAGCACATCACATGTCAACTGCTGAACATCAACCTTCTCTAAGGATTTCCATCTGAGTCACCTTCATCCATCGACTTCCTGCATCTCTTACCAAGTCGTTACTCCATCTAGTGGGGGGTCAACCTATACTTCGCTGACTAGTATGAGGCTGCTACTCAAGAACCTTTCTTCCCCATCGGTTGCAGATTCTTCAAACTATATGACCAGCTCATTAAGTCAGTAGCTCATTAATTCAGTCAGCAATAAAATAAGTTTACGGATTAACTGGCACATATAGTGGGATAGCAGACTAGCCACAACTCATCCCTTTTTTTAATAATATGAAGTTGTATTCAGGAACGAGGTTCTACTGCTTTAGTTTCTCTTTGTAATCTCTCTTGATTTGCAGTGGATACTCTTATTTACAATATAAATTAGTACCGACACTAATTGACAAATTTAGCTTTTTTTAGGACCAAGTCGTTTATTACGTAAATAGGAATGAAATAGTCCAAGAACCTTATAAATACTATTTGTTGAATTTTGCTATTGTCTATTATCTCGGGACTTAATAATTATTACTTGAAAACTGTAATAAAAACAATTGAAGATTGTAAAAGCATTATAATGTAATTAGCAATAGAGATTGGCAATTCATAATGGTATTGTCAATTAGATTCTTCACATTTAAAATTAATTGTGATGTTCGAAAAAGCTAAGACAAAGAAATTAAAAAATTATCTGTTTCTGAATAGTAGTTTTCTCCTGAAGATACTTAAATCGGAATCGGAATCAAATAATAAAACAAAAGAACAATGATAAGTAATTAAATAAAATTAGAACAAAAAAAAATTGAAAAGGGAAGAATGCTGCTGTTACCTGGCTAGTGTCGCTATCGAAAACAGCATCATAGGCATAAATGCGTGGGGGTTCAGGCGGCGACGCATTGCTTCTAGTGACTGCGATGGTGCTATTCACAGAATCTACGGACACGCAATTATAAGCCTCTTCCAGCTTCTCCCGCTGGTCCATAGGTCGCACTCGTACCACCACGCGAACATTTTCAACCGTAGACGCCACCAACTCTGCATCCTTAGGACAGAAAATTTTTACAGATATTGACGCTACGGTGTCTCGGATTGAAATGCGTAGTTACGGCGAAGTATGTCGCAGTACTCGTCGGTATGACCCTGACACGGATCGCATGACTCACACTAACGAAAAATTTTACGGTTACTGCATTAATTCGTTGTTCTATTTATTAAACAGATCTCAATTTTAAATTAATCACCCTGAAGGCTAATAAATTTGTCAGAAATGTAATATGAATCGGTACAAATTGAAAAACGAAATGATGGAAATGAGTTATGAAATCATGAACGATTTCCGGAAACTGATAAGATGAAGGGATGGACACTTACAGGCATCTTCCACGTTCACCGTCAACTGAATCACTAAAACATGTATTTAACGACACACGATGCAAGTTACTTCTTTGTTTGTCGAATATAAGGTAAAAATCAATAACGACGACCTACTTTTCTTGAAGCTTCTGATTTGTGATTTCCTCTAGGCTTGGGTAAAAAATATCGATATATCGAAATATCGATATTTTTTCATAAAATAATCGATATATATCGTCGATATTTTTAATCGCGATATATCGTCATTCCGATATTTATTTTAGAGTATCGAATTCGTATCAATTTCGATATATTTTACGCAATTCTTGTTTCGTTTATTTAAAAAAAATCTCGTTACAATCTTCATCAAATCGAATATTGCAGTAAGACCATAGACCAAACAGAAGCATTCTTTTGTCTTTTGCTTTTGGTTTTGTTTATGGTCTCACTGTTACGATTCGTACTTGTGTCTCGTAAATTACGAATTCAAATTTGTGTTTTGTGTTTATGATGTACACAGCAAGACAGTAACGGTATTTTTCTACGGAAAACTTAAAAGTTTAAAGTTAAAAATAAAGCTAAAACTAAAAATACTTCGAATTCGAAGCTTCGAACTTCGAATCTTATCAATCATGTCTTCTGTGTGGAAGTTCTTCAAAAAAGAAGACAACAACAATGATTCAGCTTCTTGCAATTTGTGCGGCAAGTCGTATAAAACGTGCGGTAATACAACCAATTTGGCCACTCATTTAAAAAATAGGCATCATTTTACTTATTTACAAATGATGAAAATGCCTAGTTCATTGAAAACAACTAAATACTCTTTGAATTACTTTGACTTGAATAACTCCAATGTAATGTATCTACTGTTAATGTAAGATTATCAAATATTAATATATCCTAAAGTATATAACCTAAAATCTTTGAGTATTTAATATAACAGCAATAATAAATCAAAGACTAAAATAAACTAAACAAGTTGTCTCTCTCTAAAAATAATAGACTGAGTCGAATTAACTTTTTTGTATTAACTTTCTTTTTTACTTTTTCTATATTTTCAGCTTAGTTTGCCATCCACTAGTACTGGTTATAAAAATTCCCAGCAAAATCAAGAAGATGTCACAGTCAATCCTGCTGAGATGGTTTATCATGAAGCTAAAAAAAAGAAAACAAAGCACCTTAGTAGCTTGTTTAGAGAGAGGCTCAAGCTTCGAAGGTATGTTACTGCAAAGTAAGGTGTTTTTTTTTTGTTTTACTTTTTAAATGAAAATGTGTTAATAGTAAGTAATTTCTTATAGTTATAATAAATTTATTAAATAAATGAAATTAACCATGTTGAATAAAATTAGCATATCCAAATTCATTCATAACAATCTACAATTTCATAAATTATCAATTTATATTAAATTAGTCATGTTTCATGTCATGTCACTAGCGGCTATTTAATACCATCTTAAAATTCAATCAATTTTGTTCGATAAAATAACTTAACCTAAAGAATGGAAGGGACAGCCTGTGGCCGCACCAGTCAACATTAAATTATAATTCTGAATTTCGGTAAAACTTTGAGAAAATTGAGGGGTTTTACTGAATGTGAAACGAATTTCGGTGCATCACTACTTTTTAATACGAATTTTAAATAGTATAGTTGTCGTCGCGCCTTATAAGTACGCACACCTCGTTGAGTTTGCTCTTCACAAATAATAAACAAAAAGTGGTTGAGAGTGACTTTTGAAAGTATGTTTTTGTTCTGCTACTTCAGTTTTTGTGTGTATCAAACAATTAACTTTAAAAAATTAGTCAGTGATATTCGCAATTAATAATAATCAATAAAAATCCGATCCGTTCAATGTTCTCTTACCGTCAATAGCAATAAATGTTATAAGTACGCGACACCTCTTTGAGTTTGCTCTTAACAAATAATAAACAAAAAGTGGTTGAAAGTGACTTTTAAATGTATATTTTTGTTCTGTTACTTCAGTTTTTGTGTGTATCAAACAATTAACTTTAAATAATTAGTCAGTGATATTCGCAATTAATAATAATCAATAAATATCCGATCCGTTTCAATGTTCTATTTCCGTCAAATAGTAATAAATGACACACACACACACACACACACACGCACACGCACACGCACACGCGCACGCACACGCACACGCACACGCACACGCTAACGCACACGCACACGCACACGCACACGCACACGCACGCACGCACGCACGCACGCACGCACGCACTCACGCACGCACGCACGCACGCATGCACGCACGCACGCACGCACGCACGCACGCGCGCGCGCGCGCGCGGTGTGGTTTTAATTTTTATTTTATTTTCCTCCTTTTATATTGTTTCGTTTTTAAGTTAACAAGTTTATTATTTTTTCATTTATTACTTTCTTTTTTACTTTTTGCTAACTCATACTTGTCCCTGCCGACACTGATTTTGTGAAGAGCGCTGATTTCTATGATACAGGCCCTGCCTAGTTTAGAAGTCAGAGGTTCTAATATAATTTAAGATGTAATATTTAGACAATATGTTAATATATATTTTATGTAAACTCATTGTTATGCAGCAATAAAAATTTATTATTATTATTTATTAATGGAGTAGATGGTGCTATTGCTAAGCAATTTTACACTAAACTAAATTCTTTTGATTTATTACACAAAAAGTAAGGCTTTACATGTTTAAAAATGAGGATTGTTATTATTAATATATGAATTCTTTATATTTCTTCTCTTTTTTTGAGATTTTGAAACCACACACACAACACAGAGCCAAGTGTGTGAGGGGAAATTTAAATAGTAAAAGTGGATAATAAAGTAGAAGATGTCAGAAACCCTTCTGGTGATGCAACAGGGGTTGAGAATGATGGCTTTTTGCAGCATGTGAAGTGTGAGTAGGCATGTGTATAGTGTTAGGGCTTTGTGCGAGTGACTTTGGTATAATATGGGTGGATGAGAGGACTATCCGTACGCTGTAAGCATTTTGTGCTTTCCATTGAGTTTTAATTTCTATGGCAAGTTCTTTTGCTTAGTTTTTCAGATATAATAATTTGAATGTTATGTGGGTGTATTGCTATATCTATCAGGTAAACTGTTTTATTGGTTTTGTTGTGAAAGGCAGGTCTGTTGTAATTAATAGTTTTATCTGTTATTATTGTTATGTCCTAATAGATTTTCTAAATCTTACTTTCTAATATTATTTCTGGTTTATTATTATTATATTATATGTGTTGCAAAATTAAACTTTTATCTTACATTTTATGCCACATAAGTGGTTGAAAATTATCATTAAATAAATTATTTTTTTAAAAATATTTTTAATTTATATTTCATTTCATTTGAAGTTTGCACTTCTACTGCGGGCGAACTGCACGCATATTTTTTTGTTGTTGTGAGAGTATTCTTAGTTGAAATTTTAGTTGAGTACTACCATAGCCATAGATTGATGATAAATCAAGTAATGATTTCATTCAAAGTACAATCTATTACATTTTAGTGATGTCCACCATTCAATATCGATAAAATATTATTGATTTACATTTGACATTCACAGTTTGTTTCATTTATTACGTATGATTTTTTGAGTAATTTTGCATTAGTACTTATGATCATTTATGATCATTTTTATTTTTCAGAAGGTGGACAAAAACATAGTGAAATAACACAGGCACTGATTTACATGATATGTAAGGACAATTTGCCATTATCATGTGTTGAAAAAAAAGGCTTGCAAAAACTTATACGCACAGCATGCCCTCTTTATATACTGCCTTCCAGAAAAAAGGTATTTATATTAAAAATTATCATTCTTATTTATAATTGAAAATTTATATCACAGTAGTATAACTGGTACTTTTTGTAATTTCCAGGTAACTCATATGATAGAAAATCGATATAATACCACAAAAGCAGTTCTTATGAAATCCTTGACTGAGCAAAATTTTTTATGTTTTACAAGTGATATACTTACTCTCACTAATTCTACAAGGAGCTTCTTAGTATTAACAGTTCATTTTATTGACAACGTTAAGGGATCGCCTATCCTTCAAAATGTAAGCCTATGTGCGCAGAAACTGACTCAGGTGTGTTTTTGTAGTACTTTGTAATTTATCAATTATCCAGACCTTTTAATTATTTTAATTGATATAATTTAATAACTACATCTTAATTGATTCTCACATTGTAAAAATATATACAATATTTTCTTTTTTTAGGCTCATTCAGGACAGTACATAAAAGAATGCTGGGAAGAAATTTGTGAAGAATTTCATATAGACAAAAATAAAATTGTTGCCATTACAACTGATGGGGGTGCATATATACTGGCGGCAGTGCGATTGTTTTTAGGGAACGATCGCAGAATTTCGTGTATGGCACATTGCCTAAATCTTATTGTTGATGGGGTGTTGAAAGAAAATCACGCATTTTCAGCTCTTTGCGATCACGTAAAGAGCATCGTGACGTATTTTAAACAATCCGTAAATGCGATGGATCAATTACGCTCTGAACAAGAAGTATCTAGAATGCAAGAAGGGGAGGTGTTGACATTAACACAAGCCGTCACCACAAGATGGAACTCATGCTTTGACATGTTAAAAAGATTTACCACTCTTTCTGCACTAGTAGCTAAAATTTTAGCTACTAAAAGTCAGACAAGCCGAAATACACCCGACATGGTCGCAACTTCTCAATTAAATATTATATGAGATATTGTGGCTATTTTAGGCCCATTCAAAGAAGCCACGGAAGAAATAAGTGGGGCTAATTACGTGACTTCCAGTTTAGCCATTCCGGTTACAAATTTGATTCGCCAAGCAGTGGAAACTTTAAGTCCATCTACAAGTTTGGGGCTAATTGTTAAAGAAGCTCTTCTTAAAAAAGTTCAAGAAAGACTGGTACCTTTACAAGAAAATTCATATTTGTCCGCAGCAACAATATTAGATCCGCGTTTTAAAAAAATTCATTTCAATTCACCAATTGCGGTTTCACATGCCATAGCCAAAATTAGTAATGATA